AACTCAGAAACTCGATAGGAACCACATTCATTCACACACCTGGTACTGGGTCTACCATAACTACAGAAACCTGCCCTAGTGCCTACCCTACAGATCACAACAGTATAGGCCCTTGGTTAAGAAGTCCACTAAAGCAGACTCCTCGGGTGTTATTGCTACAATCCCTCAATACTGGAAATCCAAAAAGGATTCCTTTGGCCTAGTGACTGAACAAGAAAAGATCTATACCTACCAAAAGCTCAACATATTACAGTACTGGAAGTCCAAGGCGGAAAAATTAGGCAACCAAAATTTTACAATTAGGCCACAAAAATTTTAAAAGGCATACAAAATAAAAAGAAAAAAGTAAAAATGTTGCTATTTGTAGATGATGTGACCTTATACATAGAAAAGCATAAATAGTACACCAAGAGATAGTTTAAACAAATGCAGTCAAGTAAATTAGCAGAACATGAAATCAACATGTAAACATCAGCTGAGCTTCCATACACCAAAGTAAACTAATAAAAGAGAAAACAATAAATCTCATTTACAAGTGTCAAAATAACTAATTTCATAGCAACAAATTTAACCGAGGTGAAAGATCTTTACTCTGAAAAATATATTGCCAAACAAAACTAAAGATACAAATGAATGTAAAGATATTCCATGTTTATAATTAAGAATAAATATTGTTAAAGTGTCATATTGTCCAAAGAAATTCAGTGAACTTCCTATCAAAATTTCAAAGACACTTTTCAAAACAGGAACAGAAAATAAAATTCTAAAATTTACATAGAACTACAAGAAAATTTGAGTAATCAAAGCAATCTTCAGGAAAAAGAACACAGCAAGGACATTGTACTTTCTGATTCCAAACTATATTTTAAGAATATGATCCAACTCAAAAAAAAAAAGAATATGATTATAAAAGCAGGAGGTATGCATATAGAAGCTGATACTATTAATGGAACAGAATAGAGAGCTCAGAAATAAATCATGCATATAAGGCCAATTAATCTTGACAAGAACACCAAGAATACACAGTGCAGGAAGTATAGTCTCTTCAATACTTGGTGCTGGGAAAACTGAATAGCCACAAGCAAAATAATAAAATTATACCATTTTTCTTATACCACACCCAAAAATTAACTCAAAATAAAATAAGAACTTAAGTGTAAGACCATAAATCCTTAACAATTTTCAAAATAAAAAACTTTAAAACCATTGCTGATATTGGTTTAGGCAATAATTTTTTGGGATATACCAAAAATGAAGCAATGAAAACAATTATCAACCAATTGGACTGTATCAAACCAAAAAGTTTCTGTACAGTAAGGAAAACAACATAATATGAAAAAATACAGGGTGAAAAAAATGTCTTGATAGGTGTATTGCATCAAAGGAGAGTATTTGAAGGTAACAAGTTTAAAACTGCAAGACTGCCGGGCTTGGTGGCTCAGCCTGTAATCCCGCGCCTTGGGAGGCTGAGGTGAGTGGATTGCCTGAGCCCGCGGGTTCGAGACCTGCCTGGGCAACTTGGCAAGACCTCATCTCCACAATAAACCAAAAAAATCAGCCGGGCATGGTAGTGCGCGCCTGTAGTTCCAGCTACTTGGAAGGCTGAGGCGGAAGGATCACCGGAGCCCAGCAGGTTGAGGCTGCGGTGGCCGGGAGCGGCCACTGCACTCCAGTCTGGGTGACAGAGTGAGACTCCAACTCAAAAAAAAAACTGCAAGACTAAGTATACAATTTTTATAAATAATTCTGGGGTGTTTTGGGTCCCCCCTCATACATATATATAAATTATACATTCTAAGTAAACTTCACAGTAAATAAGAGAAACGTATAAAATGTAAAAATATGTGCAAGCTACATATAAAAGTGGTCAATACTGAAAATATATAAGAAACCCATGCAAACCAAGAACAAAACTTATTAATAATAATCTTAATAACAATAAAATCAACCTGTTTGAAAAAGAGGCTAAAGACAGAACAAAGATACACAGATGATCAACAGGTATATAAAAGGGCACTCAACATCACTAATCAGGCAGTTACAAATTAAAGCCATCATGAGATACTGTTTTATATCCATTAAGATGGCTAATACCAAAAAGAAGAGACATATACCAAGACTTGACAAGGCTGTAAAGAAAAATAAATCCTGTACACTGTTGGTGAGTTGCAACTTGGCAGATTTATAAAAATCAGTATGAAGGTTCTTTAACAGAAAAAAAAGAGAACTACCATACAATTCAGCAATTCCACTTCCATATATACAACCAAAGGAAAAAAGTTAGAATCAAAAGAACATGCACCCTCAGGTTTACTGCAGGAACATTCACAACTGCCAAAACATGAAGACAACATAAATATTTGTGGACACTAAAAGGATTTTTAAAATTTGGTATATAAACACAAGAAAATATTAGGTACCCATAAAAATAATAAAACTCTGCTATTTCTACAACATGGAAGAACCTGAAGGACATTAGGCTAAGTGAAATAAGCCAAGTTCAAAAATACAAACACTACATGAGCTCTCTTACATGGGAAATTTTAAAAGACTGAACTCAAAGAAGCAGAGAGTACAAAGGTGGCTGCCAGGGCCTGCAGGTAGGGAAAAATGGGCGCTATTGTTTAGTGGGTATAAATATCCGTTTGTAGCATAAATAAGTTTGTCTACAGTCAATAATAATGCTATGTATGCTTAAAATTTGCTAACACAATGGACCTTGTGTTCTCACTCCAAAAAAAGATAACTATGTGAGCCGGTAGATGTGCTCATTAACTTATTTGTGTTAATCTTGCACAACACATGCACATATAAAATCATTACATTGTAAGCATTAAATATATACTTGTACAATTATTAACTATGAAAAATTCATAAGTTATACATGTGTGCATACACACAAGAGGGGACCCCCCCTCAAAAAACCAAAATTATGTTGTTTTTGAATCCGAGTCTCACTCTGTTGCCCAGGATGGAGTTCGGTGGCACACTCACGGCCACTGCAGCCTCGTCCTGCTGGACTCAGGAGATCCTTCCGCTTCAGTCTTCCAAGCAGCTGGAACTACAGGCATGCACCACCACACCCAGCTTGTTTTTTGAGTTATTGTACAGATGCGGCCTCACCAAGCTGCCCAGGTTTATCTCAAACCCTCGGGGTTCAGGCAATCCTCTCACCTCCGCCTCCCAAAGTGCTGGGATGACAGGTGTGAGCCACCACGCCTAGCTTCCAAAATTATCTTTTGAAGCGTGGGCTCCTTACAGTACAGGAGTCCCCACTAGATAAGCATTCTAGATACGCATCAGCATCGGTATACCAGTCGGCAGGATAGTTAGAGGCTGCATTTGGTTTCAGTGAATGTTGGGGGGGGGATTCTTTCAGTGTCTGCCCATTTCATACAGGTTTTGCAAGCACCCCTGCATGTCTCAGGCTGAGCACTCAGCCACCTTTGACTGAAAGCGGCAGGACCGCCACGTCCCACCCTCGCTGCCCACCCAAGCTCGCCGCCAGGGACTTTCTGCGGCTCCAAATGGAAAACGTCCTCAAAGAGAAGCATCTTGCCCGTGTGGGAGAGGCGAAACAAAAAGCGGCAGAAGCACTGAATGCCTTCAAAACAAACGAACTCAAAGACTGCTTTGAGCAGTGGGAAAAAGCATCTCCACCAGTGTGCCGCATCAAATGGAGAATATCTGAAGGTGGCTGAAGTTTAAACATGCAGTTTTTAAAAATAAACTCTGGGGTTTGTGGGGGTCCCTCCTCATACATACACATAAATTGCACAGTCCCAGTAAATTCATACTAAATAAGAGAAACATAAAATGATTGTTATTTAAAAAATAACAAGTGGGAATTGAATATACGTTCAGTCATGTTTTAAGTCACCCAATGACATAATGTATTTAAGATACGTATGGAGTTAGCAAATTAAACTATATTAGAATGTAGAGTTTAAAAATTACCAAGCTCAGTTCATAATAAAATAATACAATTTTGAATAAAAGTAACATTAGATTTTCTTCTATTTAGGAAGATGTTTCGTGTTCTAATTAAAATTTATGAGTATAAATTTCTGTAAAATCCTATTTGAAACCTTTGTAAGATAGGACACCAGAAAGCAGAAAACACACACTTCTATTTTCAGTTTTCCCAGAACTTGTGAACCAAATTCTGATATTACGACTACTCTCACACATTTCAGACATCATGCAAAAACAAAGCTTAAAAAACCATTTTAACACAGAGCTCCCCCAAAATATGTATTTCCATATCCCAAAAAGCAATGGAAGAGCAGCCAGATCCTGCAAATCTATTATAAGACATGAAAAAGTATTTGATTCTTACTGTGAACTCAAATAAGCATCACTAAAGAAGTAGAGTCCTTAGAGAATCTAAGAGCATGGAACACAAGATGCCCTATATGAAAGGAAAAGGAAAAAAACCCAGGCTTTTCAGAAACCAATTCCACTGAAGCGATGCTTCCCAACCACATTTTATGGCTTGGCTTCCTCCTTCTCCTTGAGACCACTCACTCCTGTCATTTGCCTTATTCATTTTTTAAAAAAAATTTTTTTTTATTTTAAAGATGTAGAATGAGCCGGGCTTGGTGGCTCAGCCTGTAATCCTGCGCCTTTGGGAGGCTGAGGTGAGTGGATTGCCTGAGCCCGCAGGTTCGAGACCCGCCTGGGCAGCGAGACCTCATCTCTACAATAAATCAAAAAATCAGCCGGGTGGTGGTGGCACGCGCCTGTAATTCCGGTTACTCGGAAGGCCGAGACGGAAGGATCATCGGAGCCCAGCAGGTGAGGCTGCGGTGGCAGGGAGCGGCCACTGCACTCCAGTCCGGGAGACAGAGTCAGACTCCAACTCAAAAAAAAAAAAAAAAAAAGATGTGGAATGTAAGTCAGGATTAGGTACATAAGTGGTCTACACACAGGTGAAGTTTGGGCCTCCCACTGGTGTTATTGTTATGTGCCCCACATTTGCTTTATTCACTCCTACCTACCTGGGTTTTTGGCTACTACGTCCTGTCTGTTCACATTCCAGGGCGCTTTCATTTGCTCCAGAGAGGTGATCACATCCGGCTTAAAGACAGCAAGACCTATTTTAATAGGAAAAAAATATGTATGACTCTTGCAGTGACTGACCGTCACTACACTGTCCAATTACAATAGTGCTGTGCTCAATAGAGAAAAGGAAACACTGAAAAAAATTCTAGAAAACTAACTCTAAAATACTGTTTCCTATCAAAACCTTTAGAATATTTAGAAAGTACATTAAATTTGTAGGCTGTGAGTTCCATTCCCTTGTTCTACTGAATACAAAATTGCTAGCGAAAACTAAATTTTACAGTGTGGGCAGCAATGCCACTAAATTTCTGGAATTACCACTAATCTAGACAGAAATACACTAATCAGCTCAAGAATGGGGAAAATGTATGTCAAGATAAAACATTCTGAATATTTTCTTTCCTACATCAACAAATCTCCAAGTTTTCTTGGGAAGCAGAGATCTGAAACTTATTTCTACAAAGTAAACACTCCCAGAAAATGGAGGGAAAGGAAACCCTCAGAGTGGAGTAGAAACTTTATATTCAAGCTCTCCTCACCCAGGGAGACCAGGTTTCTGTAGTTCTCTGACATCACGTCCCTGTACAAACACTTCTGCGTGGGGTCCAGGCATTCCCACTCTTCCAGAGAGAATTCTACGGCCACATCCCTGAATGTCAGCAGTTCCTGAAAAAAAGAGAATCACATTTACCAAGGGGCCATGGGCAGAGATACAAATTTGACTCCAAACGAAATGATAGCGTTAAGAGTACTGAGTGACAGGAACAATCTGATAATTTTTAACACAGAAATATTCTCTAATGCCTTATCTAGCTATGAGGAAAAAGGATAGCATGAGATCCATGAAACCAATGTAGATCTAATAGTTTGCGAGTAATATAAAATTAAGGGCACTGACACACACAAGCACATATTTAAGTGCAATATCTGCATCATATGGAATATGTTGTGCATATTCCTCACATAAAGTCAGGGGTAGCCGGGCTCGGTGGCTCAGCCTGTAATCCTGCGCCTTTGGGAGGCTGAGGTGAGTGGATTGCTTGAGCCCGCGGGTTCGAGACCCGCCTGGGCAGCGAGACCTCATCTCTACAATAAATCAAAAAATTAGCTGGGCGTGGTAGCGCATGCCTGTAATTCTGGCTACTCGGAAGGCTGAGGCGGAAGATCGCCGGAGCCCAGCAGATCAAGGCTGCGGTGGCCGGGAGCGGCCACTGCACTTCTGTCTGGGCGACAGAGTGAGACTCCCAACTCAAAAAAAAAAAAAAAAAAGACAGGGTTAGTTAGAAGCACACTTCTCAAGTTTTATTGTGTCCAACAATAAACAGGAGAGTTTATTAAAATGCAGGTTTTGATTTAGGAGGTCTGAGCTGAAGCATGGTTTCTAAATTTCTAATGTGTTTTCCAGCAATGCCAATGCTTCTGGCCCAAGGAAAATACTTTGACAAACACCAAATAAGTTGCACAGTCTGGGTTTTATTTCATTATCTGACCAGTAAACAAAGACAATAGCCTTCATTTTCCAAAGGAAGCAATATGCAAAAAGAATCAAAAAAAGATGTGCTTCTAGATTAAATATGACGGTTTATGCACATAAGTCAGTAAATCTCCCCAAAGTACTTAATAGTAAAGATAATAATAATTAACTGTATAGTAGAAAAATCTGTCAGAGATTATCTTAACCAAGCGAATGAAATCACCATCAACTGCAACAGCACAAATTTGTGTCACAGGTTGATGCACAAGGGAAGACAAATCACTCTGCAATTCCACTGGTAAAAAGTTAATGAATAGCTAAATACAATCACAAAAAAATCAGTTTTGTGCAAAGTTCAATCTACAGATATCTCCCATGTTGTCATCTTGAAATGTTTTCAGTCTTTAGAATTTTGGAGTGCAAGTTTATTTTAATTATCCTTTATTCAGGACTTTGAGTCATTTTGGGCAATCAATGCAACTCTGTTTAAATATGTAAGTTCTTCATCCTGTTCTGTATAGAGCTGATGGAGCTAGCAAATGGAACCTAAAGAGTACAAGTCCCTCTCTTCACTCACATTCAAGAGCCTAATCCCCTGTCTGACAGGAATATTGGGCATCCATACATCCTGAAATTTAACAGCCACAAAGGCAACATTTTTTTTTTTGAGTTGGAGTCACTCTGTCGCCCAGACTGGAGTGCAGTGGCCGCTCCCGGCCACCGCAGCCTCGACCTGCTGGGCTCCGGCGATCCTTCCGTCTCAGCCTTCCAGGCAACATTTTTTTAATACTGCAGATCATAAATTTATAGTGAGAATTGTTCTCAGCATGCAAGAAGACTGGATGAACTGAAGTCTCTGGTATTTATGGAAGAAGTATTTTTCAAGAGCCCTTGACTATTATAAAAACAAAAGGGAGGAAAAAGTACTTGAGATAAACTCATAAGGCAGGAACATCACAAGTAGAAAAGTAAAGATTTCCAAGTTTTAAATAAATGACATTTCAGGAGGAACACCAGACACAGGCCCTGATGTGAGGCACAGTTAAGTGAGAACCATCTATTTGTTTATCTTCCTCCTCTTTCTTTGGAATTCCTTCTCAGATGGGATTATCTGGACCAATCACACCTACATCTTGAGAATATGCCTTCAGAAGTTATCGCACAACCCTTTCTTTCACCTGTTGCCACCACACCGACAGACAGAAGGATCTAGAAGTGCAGAAACTGTATACACACTTTCTTTTATCACAGGAAAAAGTCAGGAACTCAAAAAAAAATAAGCTCCGACAGTATAAAGATCAAAATCTGAGCTTCTCTCCTTTTCTACACTCAAGACCAGCAATTTCTGCTACAGTAATGGGAATATAGGCCTTGTCACCACCAAACCCAGGCAGAGCAGGCCCGTGAAGCAAAGGCTGAACTCAGTCCTCATGAATGGTTCTAGGAGCCTTTGTGCTTGACCATGGCCTCAACTCAGAATCATCCGAAACTCTTAATTAAAGAACATGGATACTCCCAACCAGACAAATAGATGCTATGGGGAGGGCACAGGTGATGGGGTTTCTTTCAACTGTTTATGTGATTCTAATGGGAAGCCTGGACTAAGGGCCGCTTAGTTAAACTGAAATATCCAGCAGCACAGAAAATTAAAACCCATAATGTGTACATGCAATTGTTGGAACGTTCCCCTGACCACAGACCCACAGCTTTGCTCCCCTGAGCTGATCGCGCTGACCGTTCTTGCTGACCGTTCTTGCTGATCGTTTGAAAACTCCCTAGCCACAAGTTCCATGTAATTGTTTGCTTTGTTAACTAAAATCAAATGTTACGTCTTGCAGAACCCCGTTGTTACATTCTCATATTTCGTTTTTATATTTTGTTAGAAACCTAACCAAGGTAACCCCATTGTGTAAGGGTTCTTCCACCTTGTCTCTATGTAACTACGTTACACCCTATCTTGTTGGCAGAACTCCAGGAACTTTCCAGTTACTGGTTGTGCCTGGGGCATAAAATTAATCAAAACTCTCTAACACTTAAAACTCCCCATATTGGTTGCTAAGTTGCTTAGCTTATGGTTGCTATGACGAAGTTGCTAGTTTCTGGTTGCTAAGGTGCCATGCAGTCCACTTGCAGATGTTGCCTTTATAAGCTTTTTGCCAATGCCACTCAGGGCTGAGAGCTTTTATAGCAATAGCCTCTCTCCGACGCCGGCTTACACAAAGGACTCAAAATTCGAACCCAGGGTGCTGGTGATTCTCCTACCTCGCAGTTTGGTCATAACAAAACACTGCCTCTCAATCTTCAAGGTGCACATAAATCGTCTGTTTTTCCAGTCTTCAATCCAAGTAATGAAACTCTGCAGGCTTGGAAAGGGCCCATTATTGGCCTTCTAATACAAGTGCCCTCAATGCTATGTTGCTCCTCTAGACCCATCACGGGAGCACTCAGCTAGAGAAAGCAGGCACAGCACAGAATTGCTCACACCCCACACTCTTATCACAGCACAAATACTTTTGATCCAAATAAAGAAAGCCAATCGCCATCCTGAATCATCCTCTTCTGGACTTTTAAATTTTACAGAATGCCGGAAAAGGCATTTCTAAGTGAGCCTGCATTTTTTTAAAAAACCATGTGCATATGCATTAACGCGATGTTTGCAGAGCATATGCTATGTACTCAGAAGTATGTTCCAGACACTGTGCTGGGAACCTCACTTTATATTAGTTAATCCTTGTAACATACTGACAGGTACTCAGTCATTCCTATCCCTGCTCAAAAGAAACTTAACTCCCAGAGTTTGCATAATTTTAATCTACTGTAGCCACTTTCCCTTGTTATAGCACATAACAAGCAATTTAGTTAAACCCCTTAGGATACCCCTGCACAATTACATTAGAAGCTAAATATTTATTCTCAGCAAGGTAAAAAGCAATGGAAATAACAGTAACAATTCTTCTAACAATAGCACTTCAGGGGGTGACAACAGAACTAACACAATCACCAAGGGAAGTAGCCCAGATGATGGCTAGTCCCCTGTGCACCTCCCTTCTTTGCACTGACCACGATACTGAATTCAACCACTCATTCATGTGCTCTACAGAGAAGGCTCCTGGATTCCAGGGATCAAGCAAGACTTCATCTGTTTTCTGATAGCCACGGGAAGTACAAAAACTGGTTTTATCTGTCCCTTTGAGTCTCTAAACCTCCTCTTTGCTCTTCACCAAAGTATAGAGAACCTGAAGCAACTTCCATCTGGACACCAACCAAGGAAATTCCTTTTGTGAGAAGAGGAAGCAATCTTGGATGACTCACTCCTCTCCTTCTGAGACAGAAACCAGACGAGATGCTGCTGTCAGCCAGCCTCACCCCAGTGTACAAAGAACATCCTCAGACCCTCTCAAAACGCCCCGGGTGCTAGTGAGGGGTCTCCTGGGATTCCGGGTTGATGTCCCCAGGGCAACACAGGCAGGAGGGACTTAGGCTGCCTCTGTGGGGCCAGATTAATAAATGAAACTGCCCTGGTGGAGCTGCAGATCCCGCGGTGATCTGAGATGGTGTGACATTACCATCTCTGATCAGTCAATGCTTGGTAATATGAAGGACAAGAATACTCAACCCCAGTAACACAGTTTACAAGTAGGTACAGTTGTGGCCCCAACCTCGCATGGATAAGCCGCCTATTTGTACTTTACAGACTCTGCCTTCAGATTCTGTTTACACCAGGAGCTGCTCACAAAACTAAAGCAGCTCACTGAACACAATTTGAATAACTCAAAGAGCCTCATTCGGAAAAGAGCTTTCCAAAAGCCATACTGACTGCTCATGATGCAGAAAATGCCTCCCAGGAGTTTCCCTACATTCTCAGTCCCAAGTCTTGGCCCTGTCTTGTTCAACCCAGGAGGTCAGCTCTAATGTGCGGAATCTACGTGGAGTTAACTGGGCTCTGCGTTCCTGGGTGTTGCAGATCTACTCATGGAGGCTGTTTGAACAAATCCTAAAGAATACGTGGACCTAAAAGGAAGAAGCTGAGGCAAAAGTAATATAACTAGAGACTTGGGCCATGTTTTAGGACTGCAACCCGGGAGCATCAATTCAATTCTCCCAAAACATACACTCAGATTAGCAGCAATCACAAGCAGACTTTTAAAGGCAAAAAAGGGGGACAGGAAGTGTGCTGATATAAAGTTGTTTG